ACCATAACCCAAGTCTAATCATTAGGAAACATCAGACAAACTCCAATGGAGAGATTTTACAATAATTAGCCTGTACTGCACATCACAGGTGTTCAATACATAGATGAAAAATAGAATTAACTCTTTAATTAACTCACTTGCACATTTCCAGAGCACGACTAGCATAAGCTTTTATTTGAAAATGTAGGACGTGAGAAGACTGTGCAAGTTTAGCCAGTTTCTGGAGCAGTTGGCCAAAGAAGGAACTGTTCCTGCAGGTTAGCAGCTATCATTTAGATAATTTGATTTCTATCAATCAAGAAGACTAGAGAGAAATAGTTATGAGAGAAGGACATGCAAGGGCCACCTTGGAAAATTCTCAGGCCTTGAAGGTCTCTTACAAGGTCTTTAAATGAAATTTTCAAGCCTTACCATAATGATAGTCAAAGAGCTCCTCAAAATTATTCTTTTTGATTTAATGCTAAATTTTTAATTTTTCTTGCTGAATTTCATTGACTCCACCAGAGATGAAAAGCAGATGTAACATAAATTAATCTACTTCACCCAAAGGAAAAAAAAATTATATGTATGTAAGAGGGAAACAGTCTATGTGTTAAAGGATACTTTTCAAAAAAAGATAAAATCATGACTCTTATGCAGATATAAAAACGAATACATGTTAAAGATTTTGTTTAACACATTAATGAGGAAACTGGTAAGGTGTTAAAACCAGTTCCAAGAACAATCCAAGGAACAGATCAGGAATGTGGACTGAAACAAAGAATCTGGGCAAAGGTTGATTAAAGGAGTTTATTTGATAATCAAAGTGAGGAACTCGAGTCCAGGAAAACAGGCCAACAGAGTATTCTGAGGAACTGCTCTGAGGTCTGCAGATCTGAGCGCAGTTTTTACACCTTTTAACAAAGCAGTGTATGTGCAAGAAAGGGCTCACACATCTAATAGGCATATACTTCAAGAATAACAAGAACTTGCTGGTTACATGTCAAACAAGGCTTGTCATGTCGGTGTTATCCTTGTGCGGAGGGAGGCAAGGACCAGGGTCATTACTTTTCCCCTCAATCTCTAAGAAATGTAGTTGGGAAATGTGAGAGTGAGGTACCCATCTCTCTTCCTGTTGCTGATTCATCCTGCTGGTGTCTTCAGTCACGAGGTGAGGGGTTGCAAGGTCATTTAGACACAGGCTTATGAGGCCTGCATGGCTGCCTCACACTACAGCTTGGATTTTCCTATTGACTTTAAGTCTATGAAGCCTGCTTGCTAGATTCGCCTGTTAGAACAGGGAGAGGCGGTCTCACTTTCATTTACACTCCTCCTTTGGTCATCATCAACCCATGGTTGCATTTATGACCAATCAGGCATTTCTTTTATTTTTCTCTGAGAACCAACAAACTTAAATAAGCTTTTATTTACCAAAGATTATTTTATATCATGTTAACTTGAAAAACATTTAGGTTAGTTCCTATTACATTTAGAAATAATTTATATAAGCACTCACTTTAAGCCAATTAAATAGAGCTCTTTTAGAAATTATACCAACTGGAGGCAGACAAATATATAGAGAGAGAGACATACAGACATTCAGATAGACATAAACAGAGATCTTTAAAAATTTTAGCCATGTCTCAGGTACGAAACTCAAAAGAACAGTTGGATTCAAAGTGTGCTTCTGACAGATGGACTAAATTAATGTTATCTGCTCAGAGGGCTAAAGATTTTTACTAAAGATTCTTTTTTTTTTTCTTGTAAGGATTCTTTTTAGAGCTGCCTTTTTTTTTTTGAAGAAGATGATTAGCCCTGAGCTAACATCTGCTGTCAATCCTCCTCTTTTTGCTGACAAAGACTGGCCCTGAGCTAATACCCGAGCCCATCTTCCTCTACGTTTTATATGTGGGATGCTGACCACAGCATGGCTTGCCAAGTGGTGCCATGTCCGCACCTGGAATCCAGAACCAGCGAACCCAGGGCTGCCTGCCGGAGCAGAATGTGTGCACTTAACCGCTGCACCACCCGGCTGGCCCCAGAGCTGTTTTTGAAGCCACTTTGTCTTTTAGAAGCTCTGCATATCAATCAAAGGATGCATTGTATTGTCTCTGAGAGATTCTGAATCCTCTCTTTTAAGGGTGACCCTTAAGGTGTACTTATCTGAAAAAGTTCCCCAGAGTGGGCATTATAATTTCAAATTATCTTGAAAGTTTACCTATTTCCACTTGCTTAGTCTTAGACCTGGAATTTCAGGGGAGTTGAAGTAGAGGAGCTCAGCGAGAGACGAGACAGAAACAGCAGATTTGTTTTCATTTTTGCTAGTGCAGCTGTCATTCTCCAATTTGGCATGTCTCTCATTTAATTATTTTCTTTTAAAGAGGGAATAAGGGATTCTCGATTTTGTTTAGAAGCCTCAAAAATTAAAATAAGCTTCCCATTGGTTGTTTAATTTTATAGCTGGCTTTCTCCAATTGCGTACGCAAATACACCAGTTTGGGTAAGTTGAAACTGCTCCATTTTGCCATTTTACAGTGAGATCTCCTTTAGTGATATCCTCCCATTTAGCGAGCCACTTGCAAGCACGTGCTCCATAAAATTTGTCAGAGTACTAGCAGGCAGCTGGCTGTTGGATGTCCCATAGTTTCCAGGTTTTGAAGTCTTATTTCCCACTCTGGTTTAGCACTAGCTGAATCAGTTGTCAGTTTTTAAGGAGGCATATAGGGGAAAACTCCAACTCAAGCCACCAGTTATTTTCCTAATTTTTCTTGGCTCAAAAAGCCAGAAACCCTGAGTACCAAGTTTGGAATTCCCTTCTCTGTGAACACCGAGGATAACCTGTCTCACTAAGACAAACACAAAAAATTATCAAATAAACTCAAGGACGTTCAACCATGGATCAGAAGATCCGAGACCCAGGAAAAGACTCACCATGCTGCAGCTGGAACTTCGGGGAGCCAGTTGGGCTCAAAGGTCCCTGCTGGTACCATGGCACTGAGGCCTCTTGATGCTCCAGGGGGTCTCAGGCAGTCTCTCTGGGTCCCTTCACGGTCACCAATTTGTGAACTGACATAAAGAATCTGGTTGAAGGTTGATTAAAGGAGTTTATTTGATAATTGAGGTGAGGAACCCGAGTCCAGGAAAACAGGCCAACAGAGTATTCTGAGGAAGTGCTCTGAGGTCTACAGATCTGAGTGCAGTTTTTACACCTTTTAACAAAGCAGTGTATGTGCAAGAAAGGCCTTATACATTTAATAGTCATATACTTCAAGGATAACAAGAACTTTTTGGTCACATGTCAAATAAGGCTTGCAATGGTGTTATCCACGTGTGAAGGGAGGCAAGGACCAGGGTGGTTACTTTTCCCCTCAATCTCTAAGAAATGTAGTTGGGAAATGTGAGAGCGAGGTACCCATATCTCTTCCTGTTGCTGACTCATCCTGCTGGTGTCTTCAGTCACGAGGTGAGGGGTTGCTTAAAGGTCATTTAGACACCGGGTTATGAGGCCTGCGTGGCTGCTCCACAGCACAACATGGATTTTTGTACCGACTTTAAGCCTATGCAGCTTGCTTGCTAGATTTGCCTTTAGACCAGGGAGAGGGACCCCAGTTTCACTTATGTGTATATATATATATATATATATATATATTTTTTTTTTTTTTTTTTTTTGAGGAAGATTAGCCCTCAGCTAACTACTGCCAGTCCTCCTCTTTTTGCTGAGGAAGCCTGGCCCTGAGCTAACATCCTGCCCATCTTCCTCTACTTTATATGTGGGACGCCTACCACAGCATGGTGTGCCAAGCGGTGACATGTCTGCACCCAGGATCTGAACCAGTGAACCCCGGGCTGCGGAATGTGCCAACTTAACCGCTGCGCCACCAGGCTGGCCCCTCACTTACAGATATATTAAAATAAATGTGCAAGTGGAGGCAAAACTGTTTTTTTCATGATGGGGAGGGATGTCACTCTACTGGATAAAATTCATTTGCAGATGTATAAACAAAAATTAATTTCCATTGCTGTCAGTTGCTAGAAGTTTACAACTTATAAAGCTGTAAAATAATTCCCACGGAATCAGACTCAGAGGACCCGAAAGGATGGGGTGCATAATTTTTTCCCCTTCTATCTCCAGACATAGAATTGGCAGAAAGTCTTGGGTGGCAATGGGAATACTGGTCATGAGGTTAACTTCCCAGTTCGGGGAGCATGTGGTTAAGGGACTTTTTCCTTCCATCCACAGATTATTTCAGGTAAATGAGATATTATACTTCTTTGGTTCAGTACTTGATTGTCAGAGGACCAGCTCTGAAATGAAATGTCGGACCTGGACAAGCTAATGAGCTACTCAATGGCCACACAACGCCCCAAACTCCCAGAGTAGTCGAAATACACCTGCACCTTCAAAAGGGCGCCACGCAGTGTGTATTTGGCCCCCTTTTCGCTAGTGGGGAAGAAGCGGCTTCACAGGCGCACACTATTCATAAACGAATCTGAAACGCCACCGAGACCTCTGCCTCTTCATTGTCCTCTCACCTGCACGAGGCTGGGTTCTTTCGCTAGAAATAATTCTGCTGGAAATGGTTCTCCCACAACCCTTAAAACATCATAGCTCAGGATCTGGAGTCAGAACTGGGTTTGCGTTAGGCTCAACCTACTACAAGCTGTTTATTCTGAAAAAACAAAAGAAAAAGGATATTAATTATAATTCCTAGCTGCCAGGGTTGTTGGGAGATTTAAAGACACGAGGACTGTGAAAAATGCTGGTAAACTGTGAAGTTATTAAAACAAATCTGCCCCTCTTTTAGGATGCCACGATGCAAAGTTCATCGCCGGAAAGCTAAGAGGTCTCGGCTCCCGTCAAGCATGAACGGAGCGGCCACGGAGCCGGGCTCAGGAGCTCCCCGGGCGCGCAGCTGGCTCCTCCCCCGGCACTCGGCCGGCCGGCGAGAGGCAGCGGGGGCTGGGGCGCCGGGCCTGTGCGGCCCGCGGCCCGCGGCCCGCTGGGGTGCAATCCCGTGCCGGGGCGGGGCAGGCGCGGCCGCCCAGTTCCTGATTCTCTGAGCGGGGCCGGGGCTGGGGGCGCCACAGGCGCGGGGACGCGGGCGGCGAAGGATGGGCCCGCGCCGCGCGCCGAGCCTGCCCCGAGGCCCCGGCCTGCGGCTCCCGTTGCTGCTGCTCCTGCTGCTGCTGCAGGGCGCGGGCGCCGGGGCCGGCCGGCCGCCGCACCTCGTCTTCGTGCTGGCGGACGACCTGGGCTGGCACGACGTGGGCTTCCACGGCTCGCGCATCCGCACGCCGCGCCTGGACGCGCTGGCGGCCGGCGGGGTGCTGCTCGACAACTACTACACGCAGCCGCTCTGCACCCCGTCGCGGAGCCAGCTGCTCTCCGGCCGCTACCAGGTACGAGCGCCCCGCCCGCCGGCCGCTTGGAGGGGGGCCCGGAGGCCGGGGCGGGCGCTGGCGAGCCGGCGACAGCACCCCGACCCGGGGCCGAGCGGGCGCCTCCTCGGCGGGGCAGCACCGCCCTTGCTCCTCCCAGGCCCGCCGCGGCCTCTGCGCATGCCCGGCTCCAGGGCGCCCCTGCGTTTCGGGGGCGTTTTCTGTCTTTCATTTTCTGAAGGTTGGGGTGAAGGATTTGTGGGGGAATGCCCGGTGCTGGGCTCTGCGATCGGGTGGGCCGAAGGGTCCGAAGGGACTGTGCCGAGCGTCCTGAGGTGGGAGGATGGAGCGAGAGCGGGCCGGGCGCCCCGGGGGGAGCCGTGAGCGGTGGGGAGGCAGGAAGGCAGGGCTGAGAGCTAAGATGAGAGTGCCCGCAGGGACTGCGACTTTGGTTCCCTGTGAACACAGGGATCCTAGGTTAGGACTGTCCAACCAGAGCTGAAAGTAATTTTTCCAAGTTCTCAGCGGCCCTGGAATGAAACCCATCCAGATTGATTTTTCCTGGGCTGCTGACGTTCCTTTCAGATTTAACGTGTATTCAATGCCTCTGAGCATCTTCGTTATCTTTAAAAACTAATCTCTAGTTAACAGAGAAAAGTATATTTGTAGAGAGCGTGTGCGTATGTTAGATAACTAAGAATAGCAAGAATATTTGCATAGTTCTTTACTGTTTTTAAAGTTAATTCTTGAAATAGCGTAAAGGTAGCTGTTATTTTTAATCCCCTTTTACAGATGAGGAAATAAACCTGTGGAGGTTTGATTTGTTGAGAATCACACAGCTAGAAAGTGGTACAGCTGGGTGTTGTGCCTCCTGCATCCCCTAGCCATCTCAGGCCTCTAAAACTGGACTCCTTTTTTTTTTCTTAATCTGAATAACATTGACATTTTTATAAGATCCTGGCGTGCTTATGAGCATATGAAATGCAATCAGCAGGTGCAGTGTGAGAACACACGTGGACCTCTGTATGTGTGTGCTGTTTATTCAACAAGCATACTTTGACATCTTACTGTGCAAGTCACAGGGGATGTGCTTGACCCCGGCCCTCCTGAATCTGTGTTCATGGAGCCTTTCAGATCAACCTTAGCCTCGTGTTGTCCTGAGATCAAGAGAAGGGAGGATTCCCTTGCAGTAAAGATTTCCACTGTGGGCTGGGACTTTTGGAAACAGAAAAGATGGAGTTTTATAAGGGGCCTGAGAAGTAGCTGTAGCCAAGGTTTGCAGTGGAGATGAAGGATGGTTCCCCTTGCCATCACCCTGAGTACCTTCCACACTCTGAACTTTGGCTGCTCAGGGTAACCAGGAATCCCTACTCCGATACAGATCTCACCCTGGACAGTGTGTGGGACTAAAGGGATGTTGGAGTGAAGCAGGGGAAGGCGGGCAGGCAAGTCCTGCCCAGTGGTTCTGCATTTGCTCTGAAATAAGAGAACTCGAATTGCAGAAGAATGGGGGGGCCATTCATTTCTCTAACTTCCTCCCTTCCAACAGACTTGAGCAGGAGAGCAAATACCACACTTCAGAATGTTGTTCGTGCAATTGTCTGCTTTTGTCCCCTATTGTCCTCTTCCACCGGTCACCAACATTCTGTCTTGGGAAAACCTGAGTATTTAGAGTAGCTGGTGGTTAAGATGTGAAGGCAAGGTAGAAGCTGGGTACTCCCAAACAGTTTAGAGACCAGTTGGCATAGCCAGCCAGCCTCCCCAAACATCCTGCATGACTTTCCTCCCCTGTTTTATTCTGTTCGAGTTTGGGAGACTCAATTAGAAATCACTTTGGGTTAGCGAGCATCCTTTTTTAAAGAAGCCGGTATTTCTGGGAGAGCTAGGGAGCCTCGTTGCCTTCAGATACTATATACGGGTACTGTTCTGAGCATTTTACATGTACTAACTCCCTTAATTCTCACCGCAACCCGATGTGGTAGGTGCTACTGTTGTCATCCTTATTCCTCAGCAAGGAAATCTAGGCTGGAAAAGGTTGAGAAACTTGCCCAGGGTCACAGGGCTAGTAAGTGGGGGACCAGGATTTGAACTGGTCGGTGTGGCTCCATAACCACCGCACTATGTTGCCTACTCGCAATTATTAAAAATATCATCACAAGAGCTGCTTCAGATTTACTAAATAGTCTCTCTGTTATTTTTGCGTGTTTAGGTAATTCCTAAACACTTCAATTAAAAAAGCACAGTTAACTGCTGCACCACTGTGCCGGCCCCTATATCTAAGTATTTTTAGGGGGAGTGCTAATATAAATGGTGTTGTTTTTAATTTCAAGTTCCAATTGTTTGGTGTTGGTGTATATGAAAACAATTTATCTTTGTATATCAATCTCATATCCTGCAAATTTGCCATAATTGCCTGTTAGTTCCACAAGGATTTTTTATCAATTAACCCCCTACATTTCAAGTTAGGAATTGCCTGTGTTAAATGTAAAGTGAGAATAGAGAGTCATGTGTTCTGCATAATTTTACACAATAAAAGGAGGAAATTTGTTGACTATTTCAAAATTAGGTTCTTGAAAAAACTCCTAATCTGTGAATTTAGCAATCACACTCTAACAGAGACCTCCCTCCTGTCATCATCTAACTTTAGGTTGGGAAAGAAAAGTGTGAAGTGATAAACACACCTAGACTGACTGATTGAAGTTTGTATTCCTAAGAAATTCTGCGTTTTTGTTTTTTAGTTCATAAAAGTATTTAGTGAAGACAACCAGTTAGGAATTATGAGACGTGGGTGTCAGTCTTCATCCTGTCTTCAGACTGGGACCTCGCTGGACATCATTTTCCACAGCTGGAAAATACAGGAGTTGGCTGAACTCGAAGGCTGACCTCTTTCTAGCTCTCAATTTCTTTGACTTTAAGGCTCTTGTGTCGGTTAAAGCAAGTTTCTAACTTGGCAGAAGCACGTTATGAGACCCACCATCTCCATCTGCTGGTAGAGAAGGAGATTACTCTTGCCCAGTGCTATGTGCCTCACAAGTTGCAGGAGCCGCTTATTCTGCGGCTGGGAACTTGTTTTACAGGAATGTGAATTCAACTTTTTATGTTGAGACATTTGATTGTTCAGAATCCTCACATATGAACCTTTTTAAACTTGTGTGCTTTGGGGAAAATGGCAAATCAGGGAACTAGAATTCAGATCTCTGTACACTTATGCTGGTGTTCCTCCCACAGCCCTATGACTCATTCACTCATTATTTTAAAAATCTTTTTAAAAAAATCTACATTTTATTTATTTTTTGAATAGAAAATACATTCACATGGTTTAAAAATTAAAAAGTTACGGAAGGGCTTACACTGAAAATCTCTCCCTATATACACACGCTCATACATTCTGTTCCTTAGGCATCCAATTCCCCATCTTTGGAGGCCAACAGTGCTATCTGAATTGTGTATATCCTTCCGAAAGTATTTTATGCATGTACAAGCAAATATATAAGGAGATATTCCCCTCCTCTCTTTTTGTATGAATATTAGCATACTCTTCACACTGCTTTACACATGCTTTTTTCCCTTAACATTTGAAATAATTCCATATTGTTCCATAAAAAGCATCCTCAATTTTTATGGCTGTATAATATTTTGTTAAATGGATATGTCATAGTTTATTTAACCAGTCACATAATGGTGGACATGTCGGTTGTTTCCAGCCTTTTGATATATCAAAGAATGCTGAAGTCAATATCTTGTCCATATGTCATTTTGCCCATGTTGGAATATGTCTGTAGGATAAATTCTTAGAAAAGAAGTTTTCTGGATTTAAGGGTAGATGCTTTTGTAATTTTGATAAATATTGCAAAATTTCACTTCAGTAGGTTGTATCAATCTACATTCCCACCAGCAACATATGATATTATTTTCCTATACTTTTTTTGTCTTGATGAGGAAGATTGGTCCTGAGCTAACATTCGTGCCAGTCTTCCTCTGTTTTGTATTTGGGATACCACCACAGCATGGCTTGATCAGCGATGTGTAGGTTAGCACCCAGGATCCGAACCCGTGAACCCCAGGCTGCTGAAGCATAGCATGCGAACTTAATCACTACGCCACTGGGCCAGCCCTACCTATACTATATTTTTAAAGTTATATTTCACATAGCATAAAATTCACTGTTTTAAGTGTATAATTTGTTGGGTTTTCATATATCCATGAGATAGGGCAACTATCACCACTATCTAGTTCCAGAACATTTCCGTCACCCCAAAAAGAAACCCATAACCATCAGCAGTCACTCCCCATTCTCCTCTTCTCTCAGCCTCTGGCAACCACGAATCTACTTTATATCTCTATGGATTTGCCTATTTGGGACATTTCGTAGAAATGGACTCATGCAGTAGATGTCCCTTCATCCATTTTGTGGCATGTTTGTTCCTTTTTATGGCCAAGTAATACCCCAATGTGTGGATATACCAACATTTTATTTAACCACTTATCAGTTGATGGCCATTGGGGTTGTTCCACTTTTAGACTATTATGAATAGTGCCACTGTGAACATCTATGTACAAATTTTTGTGTGAACATATTTTTTTCAGTTCTCTTGGGTGTATACCTAGGAGTGGAAGGCTAGATCTTTCTATGTTTAACTTTTTGAGGAGCTGCCAAACTGTTTCCACAGCAGCTGCACCATCTTACGTTCTCACCAACAATGCATGAGGGTTCCAATTTTTCCACATCCTTGCTAACACTTATTATCTGTCTTTTTGATTATAGCCTTCTAGTCATGCTAGTGGGTATTAAGTGATGTCTCACTGTACTTTTGATTTGGATTTCCCTAATGACTAAGGATATTGAGCATCTTTTCATGCCTTATTGGTCATTTGTATATTTCTTTGGAGAAATTTCTACTCAGATCCTTTGCTACTTTTAACTGGGTTATTTGCCTTTTTATTGTTGAGTTGTAAGAGTTCTTTATATGTGCTGGATACTAAACCCTTTTCAGGTATATGATTTGCAAATATTTTATCCT